TGTATGGCTATAGGGCTCATGGATTACACATTTGTCCATGATTCAACCTAGACTTTTATGGGTCTTATCTTAGTCTAACTGAGGTGACATTTGTGCAGTGATGCTTCTCTACCATCTCATTTTGATCATCTGCTCTCATACTTTACATGTCCCATGAGAACTTTGTGAGGTAGTTGTCCATGTGAGTGAGCCAATCTTATGACCTGTATGACATATTGGTGTTGCATACCTTGTGCTGATGCATATATAAATAAACAAATGTATATACAACAAATTTTGAACTGAATAAAATGCATTTGATTACTAAGCAAAAGAAAAAGAAGGTTCAATACAATGTGCCTTGTGCTTGTGAAATTGAAAGAAAAAGGATTCAATACATCATGCTTTATGTATACCCAAAGCCTGTACATTCTTGACAAAAGACTCTCTAGCTATAGGCTTGGTTAGAGGATCTGCCAACATCTTATAAGTAGACAAGTATTGAACAGTCACTTATTTCTTGGCAATTGTATGTCTTATAAAGTGATACTTTATGTCTATGTGTTTAGTACAATTGTGGTACTTGGGGTCCTTTGCATAGGTTATTGTTGTTTGACTATCGTAAAGAATTAGAGTTGGTCCCTCAATATCACTATGGATTCCCAATCGTACTAAGAATCTTTTGAAGCATATATCTTCTTAGGCAGCTGCAGAGCATGCTACATATTCTGCTTCCATGGATGAAAGAGACACACATGTTTGCTTCTTGTTGCTCCAGGAGATTGCTCTGTTGTTTAGTAGGAATGTATAGCATGATGTCAAGTGTCAATCATCTAGGTCTCCTACCCAGTCAGCATTAGAATAACCCTCTATACAAAGGTTATTTCCTTGATAGCATAACTCATAGTCTATGGTTCCTGTTAAATATCTCATAATCCTCTTTACAACTTCCTAGCATTTTATTCCTGGATTGGATTAGGATCAGCTTACAAGTCCAACCACAAAGCATATGTCTAACTTGGTACACAACATACTGTACATCAGGCTCCTAACGAAACTTGAGTATGGAACTCTCTTCATGTGTTCTATATCATATTGTTTTGTGAGGCACATTTTCTCACTTAGGTTATGTTTCCTAACTACCGGGGTATCTCTAGGATTATAATCTTTCATGTTGAAACGCTTAAGGTTCTCACTTAGGCACATTTACTATGTATTTTTTGTGTGTGACAATGATAGTAATTTCTTTGAACGATCTCTTTTTATCTTAACACCTAAGATATATTTTGCTTTAGCCATGTCTTTCATCTTGACATCTTGATTAGTTTAAGACTAGTACCAACTAGGAGTATATCATTGACATAGAGGGATAGAATGACAAAATTGTCTTCAAATCTTTTGATATAAACACAATGATATTCCTAGATCATTTCGAAGTCATGGGAGCTTATAACTTTGTGGAACCTCAAGCACCACTGCCTATATGATTGTTTGAGTCCATAAATGGATCTCAAGAGTTTACAAATCATTTGTTCGTTTCACTTTTGTATGAAGCCTCAGCCTATTCCATATAGATTTCTTTATCTAGTTCTCCATTTAGTAAAGTTGTTTTTACATCTATTTGATGCAACTCTAAGTCTAAACTTGCTACTAGCGCTAGTATCAATCTTATCAAGTTGAAACATATAACAAGTAAGAAAGTGTCTTCACAATCCATTCTTTTCCGTTGTGTGTACCCTTTGGCTATTAACTATGTTTTAGGTTTATCAATTAATCCATCAGCCTTGCGTTTGTACTTGAGAACCCACTTGCTCCCAATTACCTCCCGACTAGGCTGTAGATCAACTAACTCCCATACTTGGTTAGACTCTATGGAATCCATTTTCTCTTGTAAGGCTTTTTACGATTTTTCCTCAGTAGGCCCTGTTAGTGCTTCTTTAACACTTACAGGGTCTTCATCATTTTTTGGACTGACGATGAAAGTTATTTCTTCAACTAAGAAGCATCTCCTAAGAGTTTTATCTCTATTACTTCCCCTTAATGGAGTTGCTGCAGGACTTTGTTCTTGTGGTTGGGTGAAGCTTTGTTGTGAAAATGGTTCAACCCTCCCACTCAAATTAATAGACCGAGGAACCCTTTTCTTGCCAGTTCTTCTTCATATTGGATTATGACACTTGCGTAAAGGAGCGCATATTACTCATTGGTAATTTGTCTAGCATGATAGCTTAATTTTGAAAACAAACATTTTTTATGTTTGTATTAGTTAACATGCTTTTCTGCTATTTGTTCAATTAGATATATATCTTTAGGTCAGCAAACTTCTTCCTTTTCTACTTCTAGTTGGTCAAGAACACATTTCCTGATATCATTACAATCCTCAAGTACATTAGAGCTCATTTGGGATGGAGGTGTTTTTTCTTTTATTAGTACTTTTTTCAACATGATTACTTGAAGATTTTTAAGCATCAGAAAAAGAAGAATAACTTGGTAGTAATGTTTCTAAAGAGGGGTTAGAATTTGAGCTTGCTATACTTTTTGTAAACAAAAAAATTTTAAGTTAAAAAATTGAAAAACGCACTTATTCGCAATTTTCGTACAAAAAAAATTGTGACAAAACAAGCATATAAGAAATCAATTTGTAGCTCATGATTTTAGAATTTTTTTAGGTGAAATAGAGTCTAAAAAACATTTTCACAGGTCCTCACATGCCTTAAAAAAAATTTTGAGAAAAAATAAAAAATTGAAGAGGGAGAGGGTTCGCCCCTCTCAGGCGCGACGTATGTCATTAGGTGGCATTTTCCCATTACGGGACCTACTTCGTCGAACTTTATTCCCCATGAGGAGTCTATTTATGTACTTTGTGTGACCTAAGGGGGTCCGGGTGGACCCCACACACCCATATGGCACATTTTACAAAAAAAATTATATTAAATTTTTTGTGAGTCGGGTCAGGTCTACCGATATGAGTTTCAGGGCAAGTTCCAGTCAACTCATCTCGAAATGCAATGTTTCAATTAAGTAAAATGTTGCACCCCTTGGCTAACCAAAATGGTGTTATTTTGGCTAGCTAAGGTAATCCCTGACCTCCAGTTGGGTTGCTACAGACCCAGCTAGAGCTCCAAGAGGTCTGTCATGACTTGCCACTTCTACCTTCCATAACTCTCACTTATAAACTCCGTTTTACATGTTTTTAAGTGTCTATGGAGTCATCTCTTCGGGTTCTATAATCCTATGACTTCATTTTCTTTAAAATACTACATTTTTAAAGACCCAAAAACTCCCTCATCCTCATACGGCCTACAATGTAACTTTATTGAAACAAGATTATACCACATTTTGGAACCTTATTTTGGTTCGATTAGTGTTGTCTAGCTTTAGGTAAAAACTCAGAGTAGGTTTAGAATCAGATTTGGAAGTAAATCAAGTTGAACAAGGAGCACATCAATGGTATATATAAACTCATATATATGCAACAATAGCGCAACAAAAAGGAAACCAACATGATTTTTGAATCAGTTAACATGTGCAAAGTGGTATGCCAATATAGGTAACTTGGAAGATGATGGTTATATTGAATCACAACTAAAGGACAACAATGCTAGAAATACTCTTCCATTAAGCAGCAATCAGTGAAGAATCTATGTTTAGTGATCATATAGAAAATCTTCACCCATTTAAACTCCCCCTAGATAGTGGCAATAATAGGTCATCTTGCTCTGTTCTTCAAATAGAAGATACTATGGATGAATTCGAGGACAAAGATAAAAAATGATTCTTATTTAAATATTGGTGATGTGAATGATAATGATGACAATGATGAGCATGATGAGATAAACCAGGATAATGAGCTAGCATCTGCTTTCTTCTCGCATATTAATGTTGAGTTAGCTATGGCTCCTAAGTTCAATGAATTAGAAGAAATTCTACCTTTCAGTCATAATGAAGAGTTCCATATTAGAAAGATGTTTAGCAATGTTTGTGTTTTGAGACGTGCGGTCAAGTTATACTCTATTTGAGTTTATCACACATTCAAGGTCTATTATTCATGTAAAAAGTATGAAGAATATCGATACATTAACTATGGTGAAAACTGCAATTGGAGAATAAGAGCTTGTAAGAAGGAAAACAGAAACTTTTGGTGGATTACAAAATATGGGGGGCTGCACACGTGCTTAAGCACATCACCAACTCAAGACCATCCAAAGTTAGATACTGATATGATATCATCTTGTATCGTAGCAATGGTAGCTAACAAGCCAGATGTAAAAGTATCTCAAATTATAGAGAGGATGCAATCCATATTTGGTTATACAGTGTCATATACTAAGGCATAGAATGCAAAACAATTAGCCATTGCTGTTGCTTTTAGGAATTTGGAGATCTCATATTCCTTACTCTCAAGGTGGTTGGCCATGGTACAATACTTTATGCCTGGATCACATGTATAATTTTCAAATAAACAATGCTCTCAAGTCAACGCAAATAGGGAACCGGTTGAAATGTTTCGCCGTGTGTTTTAGGCATTCAAGCCATATATTGATGCCTTTCCACACCTAAAGCCCATTATACAAGTTGATGGAGTATTTTTTATATGGAAAATATAAGGGCATGTCACTTATGGCAATATCACCAGATGATGAAGGAAATGCTGTGCCGCTTATATTTGTGGTAGTTGAAGGGGAGACAAGATCTGCTTAGACATAGTTCTTATACCATGGCGTCATTGTATTGTAAAAGATAGAATAGAAATTTGTTTAATTTCAGACAGGCATCGTTTAATTTCGACTGCAGTTTCTGATTCTCAACATAGATGGCAGCCACCACATGCACATCATGTTTTTTGTCTACGTCATGTGGCTTTAAATCTTCATAAAACACATGAAACAAATTAGCTGAAAGAGAAATTTAAATATCAGTGAGATTCTTTGTGTTTTTTATAACATTAGCAGAGATAGTATTGCAACATGCATCTGTTGCTAGATGGATTGGCGCCATCCCAAAAGCAAAATGGTTACGTGCATATGATGTTGAAGGTCAACATTGTGGACATATGACAACTAACCTTGTAGAGTGCATGAATGGTATATTCAAAGGTACTTCAAGTCTACTAATAACTGGTTTAGTAAAGGTGATCATGTATAGAGTTAACAACTATTTTGTGAAGCATGGCCAATAAGTTTATGCACAAATTGCAGCTGGTCAAGTTTTTTTTGAGACATTAACAAAGAAGTTAGATAAAGTAACAAAAGGTGTATATGCATGTGATGTCTAGAGTTTGATAAAATATCAACATCATTTGAGGTTATAAAGCCATACAACATTCAATTTCATCAATTTCATCATTGTTGCAAGGTTAACTTAATTGATAGAAAATGTGATTATGGAGAATTTCAAGTAGAAAAGTTTCCATGTATGCATGCTGTCACAGCTTACTCACAAGTAGGCATTAACCATTTGCAATATGTTGATCCTGTTTTTAGGTTAAAAACCATGCAAATGGCTTATAGTAACAACTTTTATCCAATAAGAGATGAGACTTACTGGTTACAAATTGATTGTCCTACTTTAATACCTAACCCATCAATGATTAGAGATAAAGGTCATCCTCATTCAATTCACATATTTAATGAGATGGATTGGACCACACCCAACCAACCCAATAAGTGTGGATTATGTAGACAAATGGGTCATAACAGCTCTACTTGTCCCCAAAGTGTGGCATCCAAACAATAAATTATCTATTTCACTTACGTAAAAAATATTATAGGAATGAAGATGAAATGTAATTGGTTTTTATAATTTTTTATATTATGTGGATATTTATTTTTTATGTTGTGTTTAGATATTTAAAAATAGCACAATATCCAGAAGAAGTCATTAACCCTAGTTTAAAGGATGACTCACTTTTGTACTTACAAGCCCAACATATTTCACAAGAAGTTTGGAATGACAATGTAAGTAATTTATCTTAACTAATGCTTATCAATTCTATGATTTAATACTAACTTTTTTTATTTTTCTCTATAGGTTTCTCAAATCCTACACACTAGACGAGTCAGGCATACTAATCAAATGATTGAGCCACCCAATCGGATACTTGAATATCTTAGATTAGCTGGATTTTATGATGTTGCTTGGGTAGGGTAATTTGATTACGACTGGAGTTTGGTCTCAACCCTTATTGAGAGGTGGCATCTTGAGACTTACACATTTCATACTACACGTGGAGAGTGCACGATAACGTTAGAGGATATGATGTTGCCATGCAGTTAGGCCTTCCATGTGTAGGAATGCCTGTCATTGGGAAAACCAACTTTAATTAGCTAGATGTTTGTGAATGGCTACTCATGAATTGGTTGGAAGAGCACTTTAATCATTTACCCAATGATGCAGATGATGTACAAGTTCAACAATTCACTCATACATATATTCTCAAGTTGATTAGTGGATATCTGATGCCGGATAGATTAGGTACTATAGTGTATTTAATATACTTTCCACTACTTTATAGTCTACAAGAAGTTGGAAATTTTAGTTGGGGTTCAGCGGTTTTGACTTACCTGTACAGAAAATTATGTAATGCTACTAATCTAACTGAGGATGGGATTGGAGGGTGCTTATCATTATTACATTTATAGGTATGGAATCGTTTTCCTATGTTAGCACCACAACAACTAGTATCTCAAGATCCACAATCTGATATCTACCCTCTCTTACCTCCTTTGGGTTTTAGGTATGCCGAAATCAGACAATAAATATTTGATATGTATTTATTATTGAAATTTTACAAACTTTAACACTACTTTTTTTCATAATGCTAGATGAAAAAATATAGGACAAAATCCTTGTCCAAGTGCTATGTCCTCATGCCAATATAGGAGTCTGCTTGATAGAATGACCGATGACAACATAATTTGACAACCATATGAATCTTCTGAAGTGTACCAATTGATTCTAAAGTATTGCTTGGTAACACCCAAAATTTGGCTTGCTTTAGTTCCTCTAATATGTTTTCATATTATAGAATGGCATCACTCTGATTGTATACTAAGGCAATTCGGTTGTCAACAACCTATTCATATTATGCCTATTTATTTAGGAAATTACCATACAATACAACTACATGGCAAAATAACAACAAATTAGACTCAACAATACTCAAACTTTATTGAAACATAGAGTTGATGGCCACATGCTGTTGTTGATGCTCCTCTGGCACTTGGTGAACTTGATTGAACATCTGAGTACATGCAATGGTATTAGAGACATACAAGATGATGGATCCAATATGTTAGTGGTGATACTGGCTATGTGATAAGGTTTTTTTAGTTTTTTTTTTCAATCAATATCATCATTTTCTTTTATATGAAAAATTTTTCAACCTAATGTTTTATTTATTTCAGGCTAATATAGCAGAACAATTATATAGGCTAACGATTAATTCTTGTTCAAAATGCTCTGATTGCATTGACTATCAAAAAAGAGTTGCTGGAGACCAGCATAATATCTTGCTCGCAATTAGAGAATAACGATTTAATGTGAACTCTCAACCAGCTCCACCAACAGTTGAGTTGCCTTGTCCATAAATTCCTTGAGATAGACCAAGCAAACAGCATGGCGGTTACTTGTCTACTCAACCACCAATTGTAAATGAAAATTTAAGAGAATAAAAGTCTCAAAATTTTAGTCCTTTTGATAACATACCAATCTTATCATCAAGCCTTATAACCTCTTCCAATCCAACTCATTTTTACCCTCATCACATGTCATTATCATCGACATTATCCCATTCTAACGCACCCAATCCTCCTCAATTTCAGTCGTTCACGCCCTTATTTGATGATCCTACATTATTTATGGATCAATATAACACTTCTCCTTTTGAGCAACGTGGTCTATCAAATGAAGCATTTGTCACCCCTCAGCAATCAATTTTTTTAGTCGAATCACCTTGGTTTGATTAAAATAAGCCAACTACATAGACAAATGAGATATTAGATCAAACTCAAGAAGTAAATATACAACAACGACCATAGCGTGTGTGGGGGAGACTAAGATGTGGCACTGGGAGTTATTATTTGTGAGGTAAATTAATTCTTTTTTTTGTTCATGTCAATTTAATTATTATTATTATTAATTTTATAAAACTTAATCATTACTTATTTTCCTTAACCACTTTTTAATTAATGTAATATTGATTATTACTATTATCATTATATAATGATTAACTCATTATTCTAATGATATGATCATTATTAAAATCCTTGTAAGGGCATATGTGTGGTGAGAGATTGTAAAGAAGTTGTTCAAAGGCTGATGAAGTTTAAAAGTTATTCACACCAAAATGAAGTTCAATTACACGTCAAACAATGTTTATTGAAAAAATTGTTCTTACTTAGATGAACTTTAAAAGTTGTTCAAACTAAGAACAACGTTGAGGATAGTATTTGAGAAATAATTCCCACTATGTAGCATTTGAAAATTTTCTTTTACTGTTTGTAGTCTATTGATAAAAATTCCTCATTTATGCAATAGAAATTAAGACTTCACTGATGAAGAGAAATAGAAAATGACTGAAGAGAGAAACATCAACGAAGTTATTAAGTGGAATCTCTTGATTGATAATTTATCCAAAAATCTTATAATTAATAGAGTAGAGTGATATCGTGAAATCATATTAGTCGAAGGCTTATTGTTATTCAACCAATTAACCAACCTTGGCATTGTAATTTTTATATATTCATATTATTGAACATGGAAAGATAACAAAACCTGCATTTTGCTCATTCTCCTTGCATGCATGGCCCAATTATTACACTTGTTGCTTATCTCTAATCTCTCTCCCTTAATAATGCACTCACCTTTTCAATTCTCATCCATAATCTCCCCTTTAATAATACTCCATGTCACTATCACCTTTTTAATTCGTTGACAAAAACCTCATTATTGATGAAGTATTGTGATATTGTGCAATTAGGTTAGCCAAACCGGCCATCCATAACCTTTGGCGTTGTAGTTTTACAGATAAATGCTAATGCACATATATACATATATGACAACATGCAATGATAAGTTTTAATATAAGAAATGACAACTAGTCACTTATTATTGAGATTTTTTAATAACTATTTTTTTATTAAAATCTCATATTAATTCTTTCTATATATAAATAATTGCATTGGATTCTTTCTAAATTTTGAATGAGAGGAAAAAAAAACGATGAAAGTTATAAATAAAAAGAGAAAGTTTGGGAGGAAAAATAGAAACAAACAACAACTTCACACGAGAGATAAGGAATAAGAAGGAAAAAAGAATCTCAGTAAGAAAATAAAGGAGAGATAGAGATTGTGGATACCTGAAATTCCATTCTGCATAAACATAGGATCTAATGTAAAGATGAGCATATAGGCTAGTTTTCTGAATTTTGGATGAGAGAATTGATGCTATTGAAGAGACATAAATAAAAAAGTGAAAGTGAAGAGAATAGGGCTCTGAAATTTGAAATGGATGACATAAACATAAATGAAGAGAGAGAGGAAGAGGAGTAAATGAGGGATTTTGAAATTCAAAATGCGTGATGAGAAGGGAATGAAGGATTTTTTTTTTTTTTTTTTTTGACCGCAGGGAAGGGAATGAAGGATTTGAATTATCTGCTTAGAGGAGTAAATATTTGGTGTTGGTGCGTTGGCAGTACTTGTTGAGGAGCTATTTTTTAGCTTCAATAAATGGCTTGCACGCGGCCCATGAAAGGAAGATGAGAAAATTGGACGGCTTATGAATAGTATTTGGCGAGATTAAGCCCCACATACTGATGGGCTAAGGTGGAAGAGTATCTAATGTTATACTACCTCCGGTTCTTAATATAAAACCTTATTTGATTTTTATTTTAATTATAAATATAAGATCTCAATTTATTTTATCTCTCATATTTATTTTTTTTTTCAAAGTAGCTTTCTAACAATGATAATTCTAGTTAATACACTTGATTAGCAAGGATATTTTAGGAAAGACAACACTTATTTAGAACAAATAACTAATTCAACTTACTTTCTTAATCTCCTCAAATTAGTCAACTGGCTCTTATAATTAAGACCGGAGGTAGTACTACTTTCTGTTTTTAATATAAGAATTTATTTAACTTTTATTTTGGTTCTAAAATAAGATCCAAATCTACTTTATCTCTCATATTTATCTATTTTTTTAATAAAATACTACTTATAATAATAGTAATTCTAGCTAATATATTTGATTAGCAATAATATTTTTAAAAAAACAACACTTATTTATTACAAATAACTAGTTAACTAATTTTTTTTAATTTATTTAAATTAGTCAACAAGCTCTTATATTAAGCTTCTAAGGATATAGTATTGACAATTGCATTGCATTTTTTTCTTGCGTGACCCGTGTGGTCAGTGTTGCTGCTCTACGTTGCATTTCGTGGCTTATCCCTAACCTCTCCCTTAACAATCACTGCCAATTCAATTCCTTGATCTCTCTCCTTTCCAATAAGTTAACTCATTTCATTTCCTATCTCATCACTTCAACTTCATTTTTGTTAATTTTCCTTTTAAGAGAAATCATTACCTTCGTCTTTCCGTTATTCAAACATCACTATCATCTCTGATTTCGCACAATAAAAAGCTTATAATCGTCATTAATAAGTAGTGATCTTTTTCTGTTATTGTTATTCTTTAGATAGATTGGGGTCGCGTCCCTGAGCAAGGAGGAGGAGGAAAAGGAGGATGGTGGTGATAAATGTGAAGGAGTCGACGATTGTTCGACCGGAGGCGAAGACGCCGCGGGTGGTGATTTGGAATTCCAACGTCGACTTGGTGGTGGTGGATATCCACCTTCCGACGGTGTACTTCTACAGGCCGACGGCGGCGGGTGCGTCGAGTTTCTTCGACGCTAAGGTTCTGAAGGAGGCTCTGAGCAAGGCTCTGGTGCCTTACCCAGTGGCTGGGCGGCTTCGCCGGGACGACCACGGCCGCGTAGAAATTGACTGCAATGGCGAAGGCGTCCTCTTCGTCGAGGCCGAAACCGATAACGTCATTGACGATTTCGGTGACTTCGCTCCGACGCTTGAACTCCGGCAGCTCATTCCTGCCGTGGATTATTCCCGGGGAATCGAAACTTATCCCATTTTTGTGTCACAGGTACGTTTCTGAGCCATTTACATCTAAGCAGTTTGGTGATTGTAGTTTGCAAGAAAGGCGCGAAGTTAAATGGGAAAATTTTTACTTGGCACGTTAAATATATCAATAAATCAAAGTACTGCTAATAACTATATTTATTAGTTTAATGACTATTACTGAAATATGCTTAATAATTGCCCATAGAAAATATGTTTATAACTCATTTGTAAGAGTGGGGTCATGTCATGCATTTTCTTTTTAGAGTGTGTTTGATTAGCGGTGATAGAAATAGTTTTTTTCCAATCTGATTTCTATATATTGAAGTTGGGATAAAAGTCAAACACTAAGATGTGATTTATGTTTGGATTAGTTTTTATAAAAAAATCAGTTTGACAAATTGAAATTTGTTTAGATAATTAATAAAAAAGTAAGTTTAAAAGTAAAATAACTGATAAGGACATGAAATGTATTAAGTAATACATATTTAATATTATATGTATATAAGTGAAAACAATAAAAGAAATATTGAAAATAAAATTATTAAAATAAATTTATTATTAGAAAGAAATTAAAAAATGCTAAAATACTTAATTAAATATATTACATGGATAAAGATACCCTCTAAATCAGTTCATATAAACATTTAAAAAATGAACAAAGATTTCATATCAACATATTTAAATAAAGTTGCTGCTCTAAAATCATAACTGCTAATAAAACAAGAACACATAACATTAGAAAAACTCAAAATACTGTAACATTCCTTCCCATTTTACCGCACCGGTATTTTTCTCACCATGAAAAATAAGATCTATCAGCTTGATCCCAAAAATCCATTTGAACCCAAAAATTAAATTACAAAAATGGTATGTCAAACATCATTTTTAACCAAAAAGATACACGTTTGGACCCCAAACGTGATCCCAAATAGGCCTTTAAGGAAAGAGCCAACTGTGATAATGATGAATACTATATATAGAGTATTTTTGCAAATATTTTAAACTGCAAACACTCAAAATAATTTAGTATAACTTTCAACAATTTGAAAATAATTATTTAACTATTTCAAATCTGAACAAATATTGAAAAGATTAATAACAAAAATCTTCAATTTTCTTAATGAATAACAAATGGACGAAGCTTCGACTTAAGATTCAAGCGGAGAGAACTAAAAATTTAAAAACGTCATGCATTCCTTGCGTCCAAAAAAGAAAATGTGTCAATGAAATGAAACCAATGTCTAAGTATTCAACTTGGATTCAACTCTTATCCTATTTTGATAAGAGAAAAATAGATTAGCAGAGAAAATTTTATTGAGTTCAATTTAAAAATTTGAAAAAATAAAATTATAAAATTTTAATAAATATATTATGTAAAATTTTAAAAAAATCAATTAAAAATTTTAATCACATTTTTTAATTTTTGTGAATTTTTTTCTTCTCTATCCTCTCCTCCATTTTCCCTCATACCAAGGAATATGAGATGAAAACTCTAAATCCATATCTGTATTGCAAAACTAAAACCTTACAACTTTTGTTCATCAGGTAACACATTTCAACTGTGGAGGGGTGTCATTTGGGGTTGGTATGCATCATTATGCAGCAGATGGATATTCTGGTCTTCACTTTGTCAACACATGGTCAGACATGACTCGTGGCCTTGATCTCACCCTCTCTCCCTTCATCGACCGGACCCTTCTCCGAGCCCGGAACCCTCCTCGGCCGGTATTCGATCATGTCGAATTCAAACCGCCTCCGGCCATGACCACTCCCTCCTCCTCACCACCACCACCAGCTGCAGTATCTATTTTCAAAATAACTCGTGACCACATAAATCTCCTGAAATCCAGGTCCAAAGAAAATGGCAACACAATCAATTATAGTTCCTACGAGATGTTGGCTGGCCATGTGTGGAAAAACGTGTCCAAGGCACGTGACTTACCCCATGATCAAGAAACCAAACTGTACATTGCTACTGATGGAAGGTCTAGATTGAAGCCAGAGCTCCCAGAAGGTTACTTTGGGAATGTGGTGTTCATGGCCACACCAATGGCTCTGGCTGGTGAAATCATATCAAATCCAACTTGGCATGCTGCAAGAAAAATCCATGAGGCTTTGGTGAGAATGGACGATGAGTATTTGAGGTCGGCTTTGGATTACTTGGAGCTTCAACCTGATTTGAAAGTCCTTGTTCGGGGGGCTCATACCTTTAAGTGTCCCAATTTGGGGATCACTAGTTGGGTTAGATTGCCAATACATTATGCTGATTTTGGATGGGGGAGGCCTATTTTTATGGGACCTGCTGGGATTGCGTACGAGGGACTGTCTTATATAATTCCAAGTTCATCTAATGATGGCAGCTTCTCTCTCGCCATTGCTCTCCTTCCTGACCATATGAAAGTGTTTCAGGAATTGTTATATGACATCTAGTTGTTTTTCTTCTTTTTTTCTCTTGTATATGGACCTAAGTGTGTGTTTGAATTATACTACCTCTCGTCCTAATTATAAGACCTTATTTATAGTTTACAAACAAAGTCTTGTTAACAGGACCGAAGGTAGTATTAGCTTATTTTAAATAGTATTATAATGTACGCGATAATTAAGTATGTGAGCTCAAAAGAATTTTATTACTTACTACCTTTGATCCTTAATATAAGAGTTAGTTGACTAATTTGAGTAGATTAAAAAAATTAGTTTAGTTAGTTATTTGTAATAAATATGTGTTGTCTTTCCTAAAATATCCTTGCTAATTAAGTGTATTGACTAGAACTACTATCATTATAAGGACTACCTTGAAAAAAGTAACTAAATATGAGAGACAAAGTGAACTGGAATCTTATATTTAGAACCAAAATAAAAGTCAAATAAGCTCTTATAATAAGAACCGGAAATAGTGTTTTTATTATTATTATCAGCATTTTTTTGTTTGAAAAAAAATGAACCTTGCACTAAAATATTGCCTCTTGATGCGTTTTTCAATTCATGATTGCTCCTCCTTCCTCTCAATAGAGCCAGGAAAATGGATCGAGCCCGTTTAGGCTCTGAAATTTTTCCCCTCAAATGGGAAATAAGTCCTGGAGGGTTGACCCTGAAAGGCCGAGGGCTTAAAAAGGCCAGCCCTGGAGGGTCGAGAGCTGGCCCGTTTAGGCCCTTTTATATTTTTTTGTTTTTCTAATTTTTTTATATAATTCTAATATTATTAATTTTTTATGTTGTTAATAATATTTTAAATATTTAGTTATTATTATCATTTTAAAATTAAATTTTACAGAATGATTTGATTTATTTAATTTTAGATAATAATTTATCCAATTAAATTTTAAAAAAATGGATTAATTTGGACTTTAATAATGATTTGATTTATATTATATGTGTTGATATTTTTAAACTATATATATTTGATAATAGAGTATTTTTATACTTATATAACTTGTGATTCTATAATTTGAATTAGAAATTCATGAGTTTCAACAACAATATTTCTCACATTAAAGTAAAATAATAGCTAGATTGCAAAATTTAAAAGTAAAATTCCTATAAAGAAGAAAAACTTGATATTTTTGTTACGAAAGAAAAGCATAATCATGAAGAAGAGTAATTGATTATAGTGATGATGAAGTTTCAAAAAATTAATGATAGTGTTTATTTATTGCACAATTGCACTATATATAAAACTTTTGGATGTTGTTATCTTGTTAATGAATGTTTTAGATGTTAATGGATATTTATATATGATGATATATTTGTATTTGTGATTTAATTTTATTCATACTTATGTCTTTTATTAACAATTTTATTGGTTTATTTTTTTAATAAAAAATCTAAGAAATATAAAAAAAATATTTTTTTTAAACGGGTCAAAAGCCCACGAGCCAGCCCTGAGCCTTGTAGCTTAAGGGTCGGGCCTAATAAATTGGGGTATTTTTAAAATTTCAACCCTAAAGGACCAATCCTTTTAAACCCGTCAACCCTGAAAGGCCGGTCTTGATTCCCACATCTGCCTCTCAAGCTAGCCCTTCTCTTTACCAAAATCACTTTGTTCAAAATGTTAGTTTAATTAAGAGCAATCCACTGTCGTGGTCTAGTCCATTCCAATAGTAATTTAAAGTCAAGCTGGACTGGATTTAGCCCACCAAATTACTTAGACTAGGCCAAGTAATCCAGAACCTTAATTTTCTTTATGTCTTTTTAATTTTTTTATCTATGAGAATCAAGATTTGAAACTAATAAACACACTTAGGATAATAAAAAACCTATAATTGTATACAAATCATCCTAAAACATTAAAACTTAATCATAAATCTATAAAAATCTCCAACAATGTTAAACAACAATAAAAAAAAGACAACATTCCAAATAACAAGATATTTTTTTCCAGAAAAATCACTTGGATTAAATCAGATCAGTCCAGGTGGTCTAAACATTTGATTTAGAACCCAATCCAACTCGACCAACTAGTCTGATGCAGTGACACCTGACCCACTATCTTAATCAGTTCAGTTTCCGGTCCAGTTTTTTGTTCCTTGATTTTTGCACGCCCCTAATATTTAAAAAGAAATAGACTCAGATAATACACTAATACAAATTCTATGTTGCATCTGCTACTACTTTTCAACAGGCCTATTAAAGACACATAAATTAGGATAGGCATTGGCTATCTTTATATAATTAAAAATTAATTGTATGAATATGAATGATATGATTTTGTACCGCTGTTCTATTTTGTATTGATGATGATATCTTAGCCCAGAAAAGGAAAAAGATATCAATGATGGTAACGTTGGCCTCTTGAAATTAAGTGATCAAATGACCTAGAAACATTATTTTTGCCAGACTCAGTGATATTAATATCAGTATAATAAAATATAAAATTTATAAGTGGTCAACTTTAATTAATCATAACTTTTTCAATTCTCTTACTCTTTTTAAAATGGATGATGTTAAAAAAAAAGGATTTAAATTATTATATACTATTCACATCATATAAATAATATCTATAATAAAACACAAATAAAGGTTTCGTATTTTTAATGTTATTTTTTATTTAAATATAAAAACAGTATCATTGTACTAAATATAAAAGGTGAAAGTGTATTTCTTTGTCTTAAATATATGACTTATATAACTAACATATGACTTACAGTGATTAACATAATTAATTAAATTAATTATTTATGAAAAATGCATATGATTTTTTCTAGAATACTTTATTGATAATTTATATTGAAAATACATATTGATAGAAAGTTGGAAGACAAGATGACTTCATATCCTACACTTAAAATTAACATAAATATTTTTAAACATTTTTAATGCAGTTTTAAACACTTAAAATAAATATTTTTAAACATTTTTACTGCAGTTTTAAACTGTTCAGGCTATAGTTGTTTAGATTTATTTAATTTTTTATAATTTAATATTTTACTAGTAATTTTAAAATATTAAATTTACAATGCCCAAATTTTCTAATTATAGAGAGAGATGGTTATTTGATATATTTCTTTAAATACGTGCAAAAATAAGGATATTTATAGAAATGATAATATTTATATTAAGTTTTCTATATCATTAAGTTAAGTTCTCTATTACATACATATTAAAAATAGGACACATGTCATGTATAATACAAAAATTAATATCATAGATATAAAAATTTGACCTAGCTATTGTTCATTAAAAAATAAAATTATAAATAAAAAAATAAATTGAGATTTTAAATTTAATATCAAACTTACTTTTTTAATTAACTCTTATATTTAAGACTCATGGCAGTCAGTATTAACTATTTGGCGGACAAAACGATCTGCATTTAGAAAGTGTTTGGAAATCCTAAAAAAACACTTAAAAAACAGTTTTTATACAAATAGAGATAAAACTATTTTTGCATATTGGCCTTAAAAGACAAATCCAAACATATCCTTCTTAATTTAAGCGGTGGGTGACTGACGGGTGGGGTGAGTGGGTGGTTCAGATTTCAGAGGCTGCCAGCACAGAAAGGAACAAGTGAGACAAGAGGAGGGCCGCGGAATTAATGGGCGGGCTCAGCGACCACCCATCTAGGCGGCGGCGACTACGCCAATTCACTTTGACACGTCCCATCACTTTGACACCGTCACCCACTCCTTTAAACCACCCTTCAGACGCTCGTTTTCCTCTTTACCAAAAAAAAAAAAAAAATTCATGCCGCCCAGCCTTGAATAATGAATTCTGGACAAAAATAGAATCTAGAACCAGAAGCACCACGGTAGCCAATTTCCATTTTATCTTTAAGTAAAATGAACGGAAAATTAATTATTTAAC